TTTGGTTGCAGTTATGCAGGACAGGACATTCAACTGCTGGTCAAGACACCACTCATCATACACCAGTCAGCATACACCACTCATCATACACCACTCGTCATACACCACTCAACATACACCACTCATCATTCATCACTTGTCATACACCCCTCATCATACAAGACTCATCATACATAGTCTCAGAGTTCAAGACAGATTTTACATTCAAATTCGGATTCCATTCAGTCCGATGTGTGATATGCAAGGTTTGCCGCCACTGAAGAATGCCACGGTGGGATGTGTGTCGATGTGGACCGCATCCTTGGCAAGTCGTGGTGGCCGGATGTGTGTCATCTCTCGCAGGGGGCGCACACACCTTACACACGTGGAATCCCGTGGGTCAAAAGTCCGGAGCGCGTGCGTTTGACTGGAGGACGCGCATGTTGGAGAGAACGTGGACACTCCTATAGGTCAATTTCTTCTTATAGGAAACTTCCGCCGCCGGCTTGCCCGGGAACTACTTGTAGTAGTAGTAGGAGTTGTTGTTGTTGTTTTTTGTAAGAGGAAGTAGTTAGTAGTGTTAGTAGTGTTAGGAGTAGCAGTAGTAGTCGTCGTCGCCGTAGTCTAATAGTAAGTAGTAAGTAGTAAGCAGTAAGTAGTAAGCAGTAAGCAGAAAGCAGTAAGCAGTAAGTAGTAAGTAGTACGTAGTAAGTAGTAAGTAGTAAGAAGAGTAGTGTGGTACTAGTATAGTCGTCGTCGTAGTCGTCGTAGTAGTCGTAGTCGTAGTCGTAGTATTAGTGGTAGTAGTGGTAGCAGTAGCAGTAGCAGTAGTAGTAGTAGCAGTAGTAGTAGTACTACTAGTGGTGTTACTAGTACTAGTACCAGTACTAGTACTAGTAGTAGTCGTCGTAGTATAGTCGTCGTCGTCAGTCGTCAGTCGTCAGTCGAAGTCGTAGTGGTTATAGTGGTAGTGGTCGTGGTCGTGGCAGTGGTCGTGGTCGTGGTAGTGGTCGTGGTCGTGGTCGTGGTCGTGGCAGTGGTAGTGGGCAGCAGCAGCAGCAGCAGACCAGCAGCAGACCAGCAGCAGGGCAGCAGCAGACGAGCAGACAAGCAGACCAGCAGACAAGCAGACAAGCAGCAGCAGCAGCAGCAGGCTAAAAAGCGCACAAACCCAGGCTCCAAAGCGCGCACAGGCTCCTCTTCCTCTATTTGAAGTAAAAACCCAATAGCTCTCACTTTGCGACAACCAGTTTGCAACCTAGCAGCGGCTTTCTTGGATTTCTGGCGCGCACTACGCTGCATGGAAAAGTCACCTTCTGAAAAACATCTCTTAAACACCCGCTGGACGCAACATTGCATCGACTTCCAAAAGCTTATCGCCAAGCTCGGACGCACAATTTATCAAAACGCATCGACTTCGACATCTTGGAGTAGACCCGCTGGCCTCCAGAGATCATCTCTTCCCCGAACTCCATGGCGACTGCCACTCTTCTCTTCGCTTGCTCTCGCGCTCCTCCTGCAACATAGCCATGCCCTCCGCCAAGTCGCCCTCGCGAATCCTCCGCGCCTCTCGATCTGCGGGGGGGCTGATCGTGTAGCGTGGCTACCCTAGTCAGCGTCCAGCCCAACCTGACCAGGACACCGACTTCGAAGACCGCCAAGCCGGCCTCCGCGCGCCATACTTGCTCAGGCCCCCCGTCCGTGCTGCCCATTGCGCGGCGCAGCTAGATCCCCCTTCTAGCTAAAACAAGAGGGGTACCTCGAGCCACGCACGGCGGTCGTTGTCATTACGTGACAAACCTCAGCGTGCCGCCGATTATTCGTATATATGCAGTATATGTCATTTGTGTGTGTGTCTCCTTCTCGCTCTCGCTCTCTCTCTCTCTCTCTCTCTCTGTTGAGTGTCTGAATCTGATTGTTGGATTGCAAAGCTGAAGTGGCCTCCGCTAAGCCTCCTGCAAGGAGCGACAAAATCAAAGTGATGGCAGCTGCAACTCTCAGATTCAATTGCACAGCTTCCTTGATCGTACTTTGGCCGACGTAGCCAGGCTGCAGCATTTCTTGGTTTTGCCGCTGCTTTTCTTTTCGGCTGGCTTGGAGCCAGTCTGGCCTGCAGCGAGGTATATAGTTCAAAAGTAATTCTCAAGAGCCGACCGGGAGCGCCACATCCAAGAAGGGACATCACAGAACCGTTGGGGTCTGGTTGGATGTTCAAGTTGGAGCACCGCTGGCTGGGGAGTTGCGTGGCAACAAAGGAGACTGGAACAGCAGATTCATGCAAATCGGCATTGCGCCTTCAAACCTTGAGATGTTGTCCCCTTTAACATTCCTACAGTATCCTAACGCTGCGGAATATGGAAAGGAGCGAAAGCAACGTTTCAGAATCGGCGCCTGCGGTGCAGGAGGCTTCCGTCGCCATGGTGGCAGCTTCACGACCCCAAGAAGGGGGTCACCCTGCAATGACAGCTGAACTAACAGTGTGCAGTCAGAATGCCTCAGAGCTAGAAGCATCCAACAAAATGTGCAATACGCCTAGAAGCTCAAAACTCGAAACACCCTCTCGGTTTTCCTCGGAGCTTCAGGAGTAGTTCTTCACCTTGCTCTTTGGCAAGAACACCATGCCACGGCGTTCTTTGGCTCCTGCTCCCAACGTTAGGATATCACTGGCTTTTCGCCGCTTCTTTTGAATGCGGGCCTGCTCCTTTTGTTGCATGGCAGCATCTCCATTGAAGCCACGGCGTTGCTTTACAGCCGAGAGAGAAACACCAAGGGTTTTTTCTTCTTGCAGGCGACGCTGTCTAGCAGCCTCCTCAACTTTCTGGCGTCTTTGCAATGCTGCATATGGCTCGAAGGGTCTCTTCTCCAATGTACCACCTAACGCACGGATCTTCGCTCGTTCATACTGGCGGCGTTCTGATTTTCCAAGCTGAGGGACCACAAAATTCAGCACATCCTTCAAAGTCTTCTTGAACTCGGCAGAGTCCTCGGTCTCACCGGTTTGCTTTCGCTTCTTTGCTGGAGGCTGGGGTTTTGCGCGGATGTCTGCCACTTTGTCCGACATGAACCGCCTCTTCTCGGATGAGAAAGATTTGCCAGGAATGTGAAGGACACGAGCTGCCGGACGAGAGGAATTTGAGTCTTGCGAGGGTTGAAGCTTTGCTCCACTTGGGCTTCTTGGCATTTCCGCCAGAGCAACAGGCTCAAGGTTTGCCTCAACACTCTTCTCTCTCTCAGTACTGTGGAGCGCCTTTATCCTGGCTGTCTTTTTCTTGGCAGGGGCTACCTTTGGCTCCGGGCTTTCCTGTGTGCTTTTCGCATTGGAAGGAGTGGAAGCCTTTCCAGGAATCTGAAGCACATGCGCTGGCCGCAAAGGTGCTGTAAGCTTTGCCCTGCGCTTTGCCTTGCCCATCACTCGCAAGGACACCGAAGAGCTGTAAACTGTCTGTTCTTAGTCTGAATTCATGCTACAGGCTGCTGTTTCAAACGTGTCAGGTAACTGAACTTGTGATGACTTCAAAAGTGTGCAATGGGGCTTGAAAGCACAAAATCAATTTGCTGGACTTGAAAGCCTGCAGGAAAAGGCTTGCAAGCTTGAAAGTTTCAATCTTTGAACGGCACTCCAAGTAATGTCTCAAGTCTCAAGTGTCTCTCGACAAAATACGCGAAGTCGTTGATTCTCAATGACGGCTTTCATTTCCTAATGCCAGGTCCAGTGAAGCCCTGCCTGTGGCCGCCATTCCACGGCATCCACCTTTCCATCCTCTGCAGCCTGAGTAGGTTGGGGCCAAAAAGTCTAGCATCCTGCACAAGTTAGACGTAGCCCTCAGGAGGACCAGACAGGTCACTAGGGTCGAGACTGCCTTTCTCGCAGCTTTCCGGAACACCTGTTTGGGTGGACGGTGGACCCTAAGTGAACATAAAGAAAACAAGAAAACGAGATGAAACAAAGAAGGTAGGGCCCCCTTGAAAGGCGCCTTACTTTCCTTGTTCCTCTCTGAGTTTCTTCCTGTATCTGGAAGGTCTGGAAGCTGGAGCCTTAAACACACGTTGCACTCTGTTGGGCCTTCTCCATTTCCACGTGCGGCGCAGGCTGTTCGGAGAAGGGGTCATAGTCCTTCAGTCAAGAACCCAAAATGCATCACTGAAGCTGCACCTTGAAGCGTGGAAGTATCTCTTTTGAGCATGGACTCAATGCCGGGTTGACCCTCAGCTCCTCATCTTTTGCTTTGGCCTCTGTTCCAGCAGGATTCAATTTGCACTTTGGACAGCTTGGACATCTGCTGTCTGGCTGAGTGCCTCTTGCTCGCATCGCACAAACGCTTCTTCGTGCAATGCCTTGAAGCTACATCCTTGTCGTGACTGGATCGCCAGTCAATGCCCACTGGAAGCATCAGGAATTCTGGGAGTTCGGCAACATGCGCACTCTCAGAAACAAGAAAGTTATCTTTCTTAACAGTTCGTGGGACAGTGAATGACAGTGACAATTGAGAGTACATTGCTGCTTGAGAAACACCCAAGATCTACAAAACAGCCCCTTCTTGCACGGGGCATTCTACTGATCGTTTGTCTACCAAAAAACCATACTACCAATCCATTTTGCATGGATGGCCACAAAACTCGCAGGACCCTCCTGCAAACTATCTGCACTATCTAAATCTAATCGAATTAGCTCGTAAGCGGCTTCTCGCGGCTCTGGAGGCATGAATTTACCGAGCTATGCACAAATAGGATTGGAAGTGGAAACTGTCCAAACCAAATAAGAAGCACCTGCAGCAGTAGAGCAGGCAGCCCAACGCAAAAAGCAAAGAGTCGCTCAACTCGTGTGTCATGTTTGGTAAACACTGTCTTGGGGAACAGTTTGTGCCTCCATGATTCCCATAAACAGTTCCTCACTTCTCTCTGGAGTCGTGATCAAAGAGTGAGAGTGCGCTTGGAAGGAACATCACACGAAGAAAAGCTAGAGCAAAACAGAAAAGAGATCAAAAGAGAATCTTGCCGCCTCTGCTCCAGCCGTAGGTCTTCTATGCCCAGGGAAATGTCCAATCACCAGGATCTTGGCCGCAACGACAGGCTACTGACCAGAAGGAGCAGAATTAGACTGAGGCTCCGACTCCCGTAACCAAGTCCAGTAGGAAAGGTCAAGGGATATTGCATCTGAGATGCCCATGGCTTGCCAGCTTCCTGAGGCTTGGCAGCCTTGGCATTCTTATTCTCAGAACCCAAGCGCAGGATGCGAAGCTTCACCAACATGCGTTTGCATTCCTCCATCATGGCTTCCGGGTCAGACTCCTCATTCACAGAGATCACAAGATCTCCAGGCCTCAAAATGCGATCAAGCGTGCCGCTGCTGCACTGGCGATTCCAGGATTCTGCTGCACCTGACTGCACGCTGTCGATGCGCAACACCTCTCCCTTCCTGCTGAAGCGAAGACCCAGGTCACCATCATCTGCCACGCGCAGAGTGAGCTTGAAGACAAAAGCATCTGGTTCTTCATCTTCTGTCTCTTCCACTTGTTGTTTTGGAGCAATACCAAGTGCATCGGCCAGCGACACTGCTGTAGGTGCCCAGGATTGAGATGCATTTGGAAAAGGGCCATTCAGGAAAGGGCCGTTGTAGACGCCAAACGGGTATGGGAAGGGTGGAATCTCCGGCATTGAAGTAGTGCTGTTCGCTATTTTTCCGGTCACCGGACTTCCATTAGAGCTAGCAGCAGAGCCCGTGGAGGTCTCAGAAGTAGCGGTGGATGGGGTGCTGCCACCGGATGCGTTCATGGGCATGTCCTGGGCAAATCATGTCCAAGCAAAATGGTTCCAAAACCGCAAGGTCTCTGTTCCACGTGGTTCCCTGACACAAATGGTGAGCCTGAAGCTTTTCATCAGGGCAAAGTGGCAACTGTGCAGTCCTGAGCTTCCGACCACCACCATAACCCCCACCACAACGACTGCTACCGCGACTCCTACTTCTGCTTATACTCGTGCTGCTGCATCTAGGTAAATCCCGTTGGGCAAAAGCTTCAATATGTACTATGTATGATATATTATAGAAAATATGTTTGTTGGGTGATGTTTGATGTCACGATGTGGCGCGCAATGTCTCGGAATGCGCCGGCGTTAAATAAGTTCAACAGGTGTTCGTGATGTTGGAGAGTGTGATGTCTTGATGATGTTTTGTGGCACGATGGCGTGACTTGATGTTCTCATTGGGGCTTGTTGATGTGACGCGATGCGATGTGATGTGACATGATATGACGCGATGTTGTGGCTGTTGTTATGTTGTCATTCAAGTTCGTTTAAGTGGTGTGATGTTGCGTTTTCCTTCACGTATGCTGTGTACTTCAGTGCGATTTTACAATGCTGCCGCAAATACTGTGTGCGCCAAACACTCGATGATCTACTTTTGTACATATCTAGTACTCTATTTTATTTGCTGACATGCTGGGGAAAGCACCATGAGCTTAGCATCGTCATCAAGGCTTGGTTCTCGGCCTGCAGTCCGGGCAAAGGCAAAACCATCAAGGCATCACTTCTTTCGAGTATCTGTGCAAAAATCTCATGTGCATGTCTGTGGAGGTGTCAAGCCAGTCGAGGTTGCAAAAGGCTGCCTGACTCACAAATACTGCAAACGCACCTGCATCAACTGCTGCTTTTGTGTCAAGCTCTTCGCCTGCAAGCAAATCTATGCAGACTCACTTTGCAGGCAAGCGGTTTCAGCCTCTTCAAGAAGTTGGTTCATTGACCGCTCCTGCTCACGCTCTTGCTTTTTCACCTTCCAAAGAGCAAAGAAATCTGTGACTTCAATGCGCACTAAAGCACAGTGCATCTAAATCTTTTGCTGTAAATGTATTTCTTACGTTATTGAGTTGAGTAAGGCAAATAATTAGCCGCTTCCAGTAGTTGTCCGACAAGACCTCTGATGCGGCTTGTGAGCAGAGCTGGCGGAGCCTGAGGAGGGCCCCCAGAAAAAAAACCAAGAGCCATGCTGAGGCTATGCAAATCGATTCCAGACATGCTACTACCGCTAAAACTTGCTGAATGATGTCCTGGAAGCAAAAGGATACTTTCGAAGCATTATTTATATAAACATACAGCATTCTTCCCAGTTGTCAAGCAGGGTTGCGGTGACCGGATGGCCACAGAGAGAGAGAGAGAGAGAAAGAGAAGAAAAAAGAATAGAGAGAGAGAGAGAGTGAGTGAGTGAGTGAGTGAGTGAGTGAGTGAGTGAGTGAGAGAGAGAGAGAGAGTGAGTGAGAGTGCCTTGCACATCTTTCCACATTGCAAGTGTGGCAAGCAACAAGCCTGTCATCAATGCGGGACTCGGCCTGGACAGCATCGAAACCCTTCAAATTGCATAAGAGTGGTCATGCACATCACTTGGCGGCAGCACCTGGCCTGCTCCATGACTGCGGCACGCACTTCATGAAGCAAATTAAATGCGTGATTGACCTTCTCAGTGTCCTGCAGTACACATTGTGCTCTTGTGTAATTCAGTGCACAATTTCCCCATTGAATGTCCTGGCTGCAGTGACCTCAGCAAAAGCAGTCGTTGCACTGCTAAAGATTCCCGGGTGTTGAAACACAGCGACGTGCAAACGTGGGAATGTGCAACAGAACAGAGGCCTTTTGAAATTCTTCTTCAGAATTTGAAAGAGTCATCTCGACACTACCAACTCTGCCACGTGTAGGAATTCTACACTGCAGACTAGGCTCGCAACAGCTTTGCTTGTTGCCAAGCTGAAAATGAATATTTGCTGATGAAGGAAGCGTTGTCCGGCAGATTCATGTTCAAGGTTAGAGTAGTGCACAGAGATCGCATTGTCCATAGGATGTGGTGTAAATACATGTATCATCATGTATCTAATGTTCATCTCGCGAAGGTACTCTAAGGCTCTGAGGTGTGTGTGTGTGTTTGCATGAAAACAGGAGTAGTCGCTTCCGAAAGGTCATGCAGGGTGTCGAAACCTCCTTCTTGCCACAGGCTGCCGAGTCGGCGGGCCTGTGGGGGCACAAGGCATCAAAGGAGGTGTTGGAACCCGTCCTCTCAGCTCTGGTTCTGGCTCTGGACTTTGAGGCTCACTTGGTTCACGAAGATAGCCTTTGGAAGGGCTCGTTATCGCAGTTTCAACGGGCTCCGTATCTCTGGAACGGCAGGTCCCACAATCTGCCTTTTGCGTTGGCTCAGAGCGTTGAAAGAGCTGTGTAACAAACCACGATGCTTCATCATCAATTAGGGTGTTCAGCACAGTGTCTTCTGAGGAACGTCGCAAAAGTAATGAATTGCCATCACTAGCCACAGTATAGGTTGTCTGAAGCACGCTTCTAGACCCGTCCACTGGTCTTGTGACGATATGCAGTTCTCGGTCCGTCAGCCATGCTCTCGTGCTAAATCTGCCATCAGTGCGCTCCGCTCCGTCTGCCACCACCTGCTCTTCCGAGACGCCAAAGCCATGATCTCTAAGATGCAGAAGCGTGAACATGGGCACTGTACCCGGCATTTCTACGATGCATACCTCACGGATCTCTGCAAAAATATGTAGGCGCCGCAAGATCCATGGAACGCCCTGTGCTTTCAGAAAACGCTCCAAGTGTCGGGGTTCAGACTGCTGCAATTTCCAAATCCCACCAAAGATCCCGCCTGAAGCGAGAGCCTCAGACTGCAGCTGTGGTGCAGAAGCGCGAGCAATCATTTGTGCTGCAAATGATTCATAGTCCAAAGATTGCAGCAAAGGCAAGGACCACAAAGACTTGCCTAAGGATTCATGCAATGTTTGTGCAACTTCTTCGGCCGTTGCGCTTCTCTCTTGCAGAAATTCCTCCATGTGCTGCTCTGCAAGTTCGATATATTCTTTATGTAGAAGGGTCCACTCCAACTTCTGCTCCTCCAAAAGGTTTCCGCCTTTAAAGAGCAGCGACTTGTTCTCCATAAATCCTTCTAATTTGGACTGCAGACCTGAAGCACGAACCATAAAGGCACAAAACTCCCGCGCGAGAGCTGACATCACATCGGATTCTCTGGATGAATCTTTCATCCGCCACACACATTGGATTCCAGATGCTGGGGCAGGGTCAGAAGCAAACACAAAGCTCGAGCCGAAGCAATCAAGCGGTTGGTCGTGTTGGCTACAAACATACAGAAACATTAGCTGTCCCTACACGACCTGATCTGGCATTCAGCTTGGAAAAGGCTCAAGCCAAAATCCATGTTTGAGACCTCAGCCGACCAAGAAATGTTGTGGCTTGGTTAACGGAGTATGACATGCCTTGCACCTGACTGTGCGAGATCACCTAATGCAGCCCAGGCACAATCACAGGCTGTGAGGCACACAGTTCGCCGAGCCCCTGAATACACCCTTGAGCCACCAGACACGCAACGTGAGGGTTGCACACAAACTTTGGCTGTTGGTGTTCTGCCTGAACAAGCATACAGGCCTGGGAAACTCTTGCAAACGTAAATAGTGACTTGACAAGTCAAGCTGCTTCCGTTCTTCTTGGCTTCTCCTAGGTCTGCTGCCTTCGGCATTGGGCCACCTCTCCACGGTGGCATAGCAAAGGCCTAAACTCTGAGTCAAGACGTGCTCAAGAGTGCTTCGATAGGAGAGTGATCCAAGCTAAGTAGCCTTCCCCGCGAAAATTGCCACATTACCCCGCGCGAATGCCGCAGCCTGCAAATAACACAGATATAGAGAGAGAGAGAGGGTAAGGGCAAAGCAGACTGATGTTGACCGGCTTTCTGATGACTTCAGTGTTGTGAAACACAGTTGACGCTCCGGACACCTTGGAGAAGGCTTTCTGAATAAAGCGTCGCGCTGTGGCTCCAACCTGTGACTTTCTGAAAAAGCTGGAAAGGTCTAAAAACAAAAACCAATCAGGCGAAACATTACTCCAGGAAAACACGTTCTAAAGAAGAAAAAGCACAAACAGAGCTTTGATATGCTTTGATTGTCAAGCTATGTCTGATCTGTCTGGCTTGCAGAAATCAAGCTTTGGTCCTACCTACCTTACCTGGGCACATCAAAACTGAGAAGTTGGGTGAAAGCTTTATTCGGAAACTAAAAGGTGATCTTACAAAACTTTACGGTTTTCTTCGGAAACGAATCTTCAGAACTAAACGGTGTTCTTCGGAAACTAAACTTCGGCAACTAAAAGGTGATCTTCGGAAACTTTACGGTTCTTCTTCGGAAACTATTCTTGGAACTAGACGGCGTTAACATTTTTCCTCGGAAGAACACTTTCCGCAGCTGCAATTGCAAGATATTTCCTGAAGATTGCAAAATAGTTTCTGAAGATCGCGAAAAAGTTTCTGAAGAATAGTTTCTGAAGAGTAGTTGCGAAAGAGTACCAAATAGTTGCGGAAGAAAAGTTTCAGAAGAATGAAGAGTTACGGAATATGACTTTGTTCGAGAAAGTTGCACATTGCATCAGTTGCCTTGTCTCACTTTGCTTCATATTGTTCCATGTTGCTTCAAACTCCACTTGAGAGCATTGATTTGCACCTTGGGTTGGAGGCCATCGCTCAGGTTGGAGGCCATCGCTCTTAGGTTGGAGGCCATTGATATTATGGTATTTCCTTTTATTTTCTTCCTCCCACCTTGGGTTGAGCCATCGCTGCCGCCTTGGAGGTGGCACGTGTCCTCCACGCCGCCGCTTTGGACGTGGCTGCCTTGGCCATCAAAGCTCTCTTCGATGAGGCCATCGAGAAGGCCTCAGCAGGCAGGGCACACCAGCAGCACAACTCTTGTTCGAGATGATCTACTGAATATTATACGTATAGTGTTGGATGGAATTGTCCAGTGGTAGTACGATCTGATGAGTTCTTCTCTGCGTTTGCGTCACCTGCGATGATGACAAAGATGGCTGAGGTAAAGGTCGCCATTCTCTCTCTCTCTCTCTCTCGCTCTCCTCTCGCTCTCCCTCCCTCCCTCCCTCCCTCCCTCCCTCCCTTCTCTCTCTCTCTCTCTCTAATCTAATCTAATCTAATCTAAATCTAAATCTAAATCTAAATCTAATCTAATCTAGCCTAGCCTAGCCTAGCCTAACCTAACCTAACCTAACCAATCTATCTATCTATCTATCTGTCTATCTATCTCCCCGTCTCTTCATGGATTGGGATCTATTGGCACGAGCAGGTGACCCTTGTTGAATACATGTCCACGAGAAGGCAGCTTGAAATATGAGCGACTTTGGAAGGCTCTCATGAAGACGTTTGGTGGCGATTACCAAATGCCAAGGATTTGAGGAGCAGTGGAAAGATGAGACTCTCTTTGAGGAAGAGTTGGAGTCGAACTTTACGAAGTCAGAGATGATTGTGAATGATAGTAGGATAAAGCCTTTAAAGGGAGCAAGATGAGAACACTCAGCAGAGATGAACGAAACCTTTGACCAAGTGGGCAAGGCCTACATCAACTATTGGGAAAGTCGGTGCTGGATTGACCACTAGCTGGCACTAGCTTTGTCAACAGGATTCGTCCCTGTCCTTGCCATCCCTCCTCAAAACAATCGAAGAATCTGAGCATGTCAAAACCTGAACTCTCCTGCCGTCTTCTCAAAAAAGTTGGTTTTTGCAAGAAGAAGCCCCCAAAGCACAAACTGTTTCCCTCTAGAAGCAGTCGCTGACAACTGGAAGGCCTGCCTTGGATTCAGCCTTCATCAGCACCTCCAAAGTCAAGGACAAAGATTCACGAACTCCCACACACTGGAGGCCATCGCTTTTAGGTTGGAGGCCATTGCTATTAGGTTGGCAAACCTTGTCCACCGGAACACCATGATCTGAGCGAAGTGCAGCACACGTAAACCAGCAACGCGGCCTCCTGATGCTTCCGCCTTGGTTTGGTTGGCAGACTTCTTCAACTGACATTGGGCAACGTAGGTGTGCCGTTTTGCCAAGTCACTTGAGGCTTTTGGGCATCGCCTTCATCATTGGGGGGGCCTTGTGATCCACAGCTCTTCAAAATGGTTTTGAAGAAAAATGCGTTCTCTCACCGCATCTCATTCCAAGCACGAAGCACGGGTGAAACATTCCAAACCTAGACCTAGGCTTTATCTTGGCTTCTATTTGTACAAGGGAAGAATCTTGCCCTGCATTCACCTTTCGATTTTAATACAGCTGGGCAGAGCACCTCTGTGCCTTTCCCTTTCCCTTTGCCTTTGCCTTTGCGTGCAACTGCCTGCAAAGACTTCAATGAAGTCTCATCTAGCCTTTGGGTTCTTTGCCACTTTGCAGCATTCAACATAAAAACAATTGAAGCTGAGCTTGAGCCTTCTCGAGCGACTTCGGCGGTGCCTTCGGCGGTGCCTTTGGCGGTGCCTTCGGCGGTGCTCTTGGCGGCGCCTTTACCGGAGGAGCCTCTGGCAAGCGCAGCACCATTTGCGGGTCTGTATTTGGCTGGTTGCGGCAGATTTACTTTTAATCTTCATGCTACTGCTATTGACAACCTTTGTTTCACGTGTTCCATCTTGACCTCAACCCCAAGCATACGGACGGTTGCTTGGAAGTTCAACAAGCTTTTTAGCTGTCGCGGCAGTTGCTTCTGCAACACTCAAGCTACTTACTTGGATTCGCCAAGCCAATCCTCAGCAGTCTCCAACAAGTTTGACTTATTATCTGTCGCTGTTGAGAGGCAGAAAAGCTTCTTCTTTCCGACAGCTTTGGATATGTGCTGTGAGAGCAGGGTGTGAGAACAGGCTCAGCTGCTCGGCTGCTCAGCTTCGTTCGGCCACCAGCGTCTTCAAGACGACCCGATGACTCGTCACTAAAGGAGGTCGACCAAATCTGCATTTCCTCCGCCACTTTGCCTGCCATGAAGAACGGCACCGTTGAGGTGAATCGAAAGATAAATCAAATCACCCAAAGAAGTTTATATATATATATATATATGGAGTGTCTTGCGATTTGGAGCACAAAGTTTCTTCTTGCACACTGCAAGAAATGTGCCGGCAGTGCTCCGGAGCTGGAGGCTCTCCGCCAGCAGATTCCTTACTCACGATCTCTTGAAGTGTCTTGAACGTCAAAACTGTGTCTTTCTTACGTTCTCACTGCATCTGTTGCTTTAGTTGGGATTTGGACCGGAGGTGGTGCTGCTGCATCAGGCACCTTGGAATCCGTTTTCTCTGTTGCTTGTGTTGATCCAACATCTGGCCCAAGGCAGCTAAGGTCTGAACCAGCAATTCAGGAGAGGATGACTCAACGACGGTTTCAGGTGCCGATGATCTGTCAAGGCAAGCGCCGCAAATGACTCTCTTGCAAAAGAAAACTCCCAAGACTTGATATGTTTTACTTTATTGAAGATTGCTTCATGTCACCCCACAGCAATACAGGCCAATGTAGCTGAGCAAGAGGAGCTGCGGGCTCTGGCCTGACACTGCACTCAGCTTTCGTTAAAGAGAGAAATTATACCAGCATAGACCCCAAACAGTGTCAGCATTTGTTGGGCGTCGGCGTCAACTCCATGAATTCCAATGTTGGTGGAAACACCTACAAGTATACCATTCTATAGCCTCCAGCTGTTTGGGAACTGCACCTAAACAATAAATGGTTGAAAACACTAGTTTCTGATGCCCGTGTCACATGTGCAAAAACGATGGGATATCGGATGTATGTCATGCGAAAATCCGAGGGTGATATCACATTTCAAACGCTGTATCACTGATGAATTCACAGCCACACGAAAACATACCCAGACAAGGCGATGGAGAAAGACAAAGTTGCTTAGCCAAGCCGGGGACAAGGCCCGGACAAGGCGGTGATAAAGGAGCCAACAACGTGGACAAGCAGGACAGGCAGACGTGGACAAAGGACAAGAGGTTTTTTTTGTTTCCATCGCAGCATCGAATCGACGCCCGCGGGGCAGCGTCTCTTAAGGACGGCCATTGGCTGGGCCCGCTCCTTCGTTTGGAGCACAAAACGGCCTAAGCTGGCCAGCTCGCATCAAGCTGGGCCAGGAACTCTCCCAGTCCTAGGTCAAGGGCATCAGATTCGTCTGTTTCAGCCCTGACCTCATCCTCTCTCACTCGGTTGCCACGCTGCAGCGCTCAGCGCCAAAAGCTGCAGCGCTGTCGCCAGCCGCGGCGTACAGCTCAGGATCTCGCGCCTCTTGAAGCGCTTCGCTCAGGGCCGTGTTGTCCGCCAAGGCCCATTGGACGC